TTACATAATCTCTCCTGTTGGTGTTTTTTTCTTTGTCAGACAGCAGACAGTATATTGTTGTTGTTGTTATGTGCTGTTGAGTTGGACCTGACTCATAACGACCCCTCCTTGGAATTCCAAGGTGGTGTCACTATGGAAGTAGATTGCCCAGCCTTCCTTCTGAGGCGTGGCTGGTGGATGGCTGCCTGAGTATGCGAGCTCATCGATCCTTACCCTTCTGTGCTTGTGTTCTAATGATCTGTGAATGGCACTTTATCATCTCATTATCTTCACCATGTACTTTCTAGTTTCTAATGAAAATGCTTTTCTTCCAAGCAATAGGAACAGAACTCCAAAATCAATGTATTTTGTTAAAGAAGTTAAATTTTATTATAAATATCTTAAATTTCACTTATTGCTCTAAGATAAATACAAGCATAATTTGTCTTCCTAGGTGCCATTGGTTTAAAATCAGGGAGAAGACTTCTTCAGTACAATATTTTTTTTTCTCTTTGACTCACCCCAGTTTATTATAGCTTTATTTATGAAACTGTATATATGAGTATTTTCTTCATAAGAAAAAATAACTGATTCTAATGAAAGTTTGAGATAATTTTTGCTTTATCAGATATTTTTTTACATAAGTTCATCAGTTTTCTGTAGTCGGTTTATGATGATGTTTAAACTATAGTGGTAAATTATCCTGAAATCATAATCTCGAACTGTGCAATTTATCCTACTGTGAGTTAAAAGAGGAACAAAGCCAGAGCAAGTGTGTGGATTCATCAGTTCAACTCTCTCAATTCCACTGGAAAACCACTCAAAATATCCTGCCTAGAGGATGTTAACTTAATATGTGAAATAGTTAGTTTAAGAGACTGACAACAGATTTTCTCATATTTTTGAAGAAGGACAATATGTTCATGAAAATAATATTTTATTGTAATGTCCTTTATTTTCCCATTAAGTTTATTGATGGCTGGATCAACAAGAGGATGAAGTTACTACCATTCTATTTCCTATTCTACTTCTGAGTCTCTTCCACTTTCTTCCACAAAATAGATCATTTAACCATATCTTATTCATCTTTTATTACAAAACATGGATGATAAGTGAAAGACACGTAAGTTTCCCATAAGAATATTTGCCAATCCTCTGTCTACCTTGCTGATGGCCTGCAAGGACTGGGAAAATTGTTGTAGAAATAAGCAACTACTCAACATTCTGACAATTTGCTTTCTTTCCCCATTTTTCCTTTTCTAATTATTATTTTTGAACATTTTATTGTGCTTTAGGTGAAAGTTTACTTAGTAACTTAGTTTTCCAATCAATAGTTCATATACAAATTTTCCATGACATAGATTGCAATCCCCACAGTGTGTTACCACTCCCCCCTTTTCCTCCCTGGGTTACCTGTGCCCATTTATCTGGTTTCTCTGCCCCTTTCTGCCTTCTCATCTTTGTTTTTGGGCTAATGTTGTCCTTTTGATCACATATAGTTGATTGTTCTAAGGAGGGCAGTCTTCCCAGGTGCCAAGGGGGCAGGAAGGCCACATCTTCTGACCTCCTCTAACTCCACAAGAAGAAGACAGAATCAGCATCTGTAGCCCAGGGCCTATCCCTGTAAGGCTAGACATGCTACCTCCCTCCAGCCCTGATACCAACCATTCCTCCTGCAGCACCCACCACCCCTCTGCTGGGTTTGATAATTTGCTGCAGTGGCCACACAGAACTCACACATTATGGGGTTTATTAGGGAAGCAATAGGCTACAATTCAAGTTCAAGAACATGCTCAGTCTCTCTCAGCCAGCCATCTCTCAGCTGACAGTCTCTCAGTCTTTCTCCCAGAAGTGCATGTCTCTTGCATCTCTTCCAGCAGCGCATGTCTGTCTTATCTCTCAGCAGTGTGTGTCTCTAGCATCTCTCTCTCTCAGCAATGCATGTCTCTTGCATCTCTCAGCTGGCAGTGAGAGATTTCTTTCTTCTGCCTCTA